GAGCTGGTAGAAATAGCTTAGCATCACTTTGGCGAAACTAAGAAAACTTAGTTTTCTCGATTTCCAGCCAAGATAAATGCACATATGAATGCCTGGTGCAAAGATATATACTCTGAGCAGCATGTTCGCAGAATTTTTTTCTTCTGTTTTTCGGGCGGTTGGATCGTTAAGTTATAGTTTTAGGCCTAAAACTTTGTGTAGATGAAAGTTGTTGTGGATCTTCAAACAAAAAGCCCTTAGAGAGCTAGCTTTGTTCTGTCGAAAGTACATCATATATCCTATTTAGGATATGGGAAAAATATGAATTATTGCGGTTTATACCTATTTTGGTGCAGGGCTTATGTTCCAACCTAATATGTAGTTTGCAAAAAAACAAGATTATGCGATTTTTCTCGATATCTTTAGACCGAGAAATTACGTATGCACTCGAATTACCCAATAGACAGTATTTTTTAAGATTCGCGAGACTGTAACCGATTTAATAGAATTCAAAATAACATATTGCGAAAGGTGTGTCAACGAACACTAAACTTGCCATCAGTAAAGTTTAGCTTAGTGCTCGCTGTTGAAAGTTTTCTCACGTTTTGCTAGTGGATTTTAGAACTGAAGGCACCACTTTCAATGACGAAGTTGGGGACGAGGGAAGGAGAAAAGATGAGCCAATGAGTTTTTCAAGGTTTATTTCCTTCATAAGGATAATAAATACAAAGAAGAAGAGTGAGCGTGCAGAGGAGTTTTATTTTTGTATACGTACAGGTTCAAGGATGCAGAAATGTTACAACAAACATGAGATTTATATTAAAACAAGCTTTTCGACGAAAAGAAATAGCGAGGGAATGAGGTGATGGTCCAGGTAGCGAATCGCGATTGAAACGAATTCCATGAACGATACCGGTGGTCATAATTGCTTTCGCGTAACCGATAGAGGCTAGTAAATTGTTTTATATCCAGTTTAGATTGTTGTGCTCCTAGACGTTGATGGAATATGTGCACCTGGGAAGTGGCTTTATTTGGAGAAAAGTTTTAACAAACATATTTATGGTGAAAAATGGTAATGGATGATTATCCCTTGATGGGTACCTTAGGACTGAATCTCGTTACACTGAATATTTATTATTTGATATGTATTGAAAACAGGAAGAAAAGCGATTTCCAATAATACAAATAGATTCGTATTAGAGGTATAATTTTCTCAGAACAGCTGCTCTTTAAACAAAGGCGGAGAAAATCGGACAGAATTTATGCAGCAGCCTAGTATAAAGTCAGGGAAGAAGATTCTGTTCTATATTTGACTGCTATAGCACTCAGACCAGATCTATGGGATTTGTAGAGTATTTACAAGAATTTTAGCAAAACAATGCACAAATAAATAGTTTGATTGGCATGTTTTGGCGTACTCAAATGACACAAACAGCGAGTCAAATGTAAGCTAGAGTTATTTCATTCGAGAGGCCCCTCGCTGATTGGGTTGTTTATGACTATAGCGGTCTTTTTGGGGCCATAGTTAAACTTTAGCTTTTCCTAACAAAAGAAGCATTCGAACATCATTGGGGTGGACATATAACACATCGTTACATGCTGTCCCGGAACATCACATCAGAAATCGCTGAGCTCGAAAAGTTAATGACATGCGTGAATACGTCTGTGATTGGGAAAAAACAAGGAGAGAAGCATTTATCGCTAGGGTTGCGATTAGAGCACAATTCTTGGAAGAAAGCGAGAAACTGATGATGACGAATGATTTATTTGTTTTCTTACAAGAGGGTGATTAGTAGGAGCCTCAAAGGAGCTCTTTATTAGAGAATGCCAGAATAATTCCCCTAGAGCGATGATTCACTAGGATCTATTTTGTTTATCCCAAAAGCGTTCACATAGCATTGGTTATCTGTGGTAAATAGGATATTTATCACAAAAATAAATGAGAATAGGTTATCGTAATCTAGTGAGCACCTTTACGCCATCTAGAGGAGATTTGAAGTAGATGCTACAATTACAACATTTCTTATTTGTTCTCGTGGTTAACAATTTCTAGCTAGCAGACTAGCATAGATATATCATATATGTGAACATCATAAGATTTTTCTATGGTCATAAAGGCGAAAAAGGATAAATATGTCTACAAATCAAAACTTTTCCCTTTCCTCAGTCGATATTTTACAAACAGGAGCATCAATATACTGATCGCCTCTACTCGATGGAAATTTGCAAAGGTAATAGGGTTGCTGTTTGTGATAGGAATAATAATATAATTCTTGAGTAATTTGAAAGGACTTTTACGTTTTCATAAAATTTCTATCATTAAAATCCTCCAAATATTGCGCGGCTTGACTGTCACCGCAGTCTGAATGGTGAAAGATCAAGAGTATAAAGTATATATAAAAAATAAAGAATGAGTTTAAAGTTAAAAAGATCAGACAGATGGACTTTTCTTTTAACGCAAAATTCCAATTGCAAAAAATGCTACAGAAAAAGGATAAACGAGAATATTTTGAGAGTTTTGTTATTTCTACTACAACTGTGAGACCTCAGAGGATTTGAGATTGTGTTTCAAACCTCAGGCGTTCCTTTCTCAATAACCCAGGATCGAATCTCAATTACTCGTAGAGAACAGCTATTCCATGCTCTCTGTGCATTTTATGCGCGGAACTAATACTCATAAGACTGTGGCCTAATCAAGCGACTTCCAGGAAATATACATACTTCTGGCTTCGAGCACAAACAACAAGATCAAGCATGAATGACTAAAGTCGGCTGACACAAACAAGCAAATCACACAAAAAAACTAATGCATGTTTTGAGCACGCACAGCTTCTAACGGTCTCGTTCTTTCGTTCTGAGCTGAAAGCAGCTCAGTTTGTTGCAAGAATCGAAAAGCCTTGCAATGTCATTCATTCGGTGAACGAAGCGCCACGAAGGCAACCAGCGTTGCTGCCTATTCACACGCTCTTACAATTAGAGAGGCAGAAAAACAGCTTCGAGTAAGGAGTAATTGGAGGAAATTCTATTGCAGGCTAGAGTAGTTTACTATTATGACAACTTGTGTGTTGAAAGTATTGTTTTAATCTTTAGAAATAGACGGTTATTTGAAGCAAAAGCATTGCACCTAAGGAACTTTAGGGTTGTCTTCCTTCCTCAAGCCTAGATCCTTATAAGATTGGAAAGCTTCCGGTGTCTTTTTTTATAGTATAGAGCAATCTTATGCAAAGAAAATTGGGATCTTCCTTTTGAGCCAAATTGATGAAGTTCTACCGTACTCAATCATTTTTGACTCTTTCGAAAAGAAAATTGCACTCTATGGATTTACAAAAGAAGCACTCTAAACATGAAGCTTTGAATATGATCGCACAAATTTTGCTGCGCTTGAAAAGTTGGGGCATGATGCATGATGATTATAGTGCAGGCTCTATTTCTAAACTTTGCAGTAGCCTCTATGTTTCACTAGCATCAAATCTCCGTTTTCGTTTCAGAGTTTTCGAGGGAAAAATAAAAATTTTGGGATTTTCCGCGAACAACAATAGAAAGAGGGTCCAATAAAAGACATTTTGACCTTTATATGAAGTCATTATATTTCATTACCCAAAATGTGGCGTGTTGACTTTTCCACTTCTGCAATTAAAATTTATACAGCTCATAATGACTATACAAAAAATCACTGCTCATAATGGCTGCGATCACAAGCTTTCAATCTTAGCGTTGGATGTTTCTGAACATCAAAAAGGATAAAGGATTCGGCTCCAACACCATAGGCGGGCATGCGCCAAACGCACTCAACTTCACGGTCGAAGAGGCTACCGTTCTTTCTTGCGGATCCAGCTGATCAAGTCAGTGCTTTGATCCTCCCTACTCTGGTACCAATTTACCGGCCCTGGAGGGTAGTGGGCTTGGATGGATCAGGGGTGGGATCAAACCCGGTTCGATCTGGTTATCGCGGGGCTTCATACCAGTACTCCACTCGTCTACTCCTGTGTTTGTCACTACATAAAGGAAGGATTTACCGAAGAAATTTTGATGCTTGCTCTGAATGGGTTGCTGTAAAAATTTGCGAGATTTCAGTCTTGCAATATTTTACAACATATAACAGTTTCGAATTTACTTGAAGGAACTAGTATATGAAGAAGGAAATATACGGCTAGCCAGGAAGACAGTGATTATAACAAATACTGACTAACTATTATTGCCAAACTAGAAATGCAAAAGGAGTTTTTACTTAAATGTTTTTCTTATGTTAGAAGGACACGTAACTCGCATTTCGCTCACTGCAGCTGTCCTAAAGGTATACTTTTCTGTGAAGATCACCTGCTTTTCTGGAACGGATTAAGAGGACAAACCATAGCTTTGTCTGACTGGTATTGTTTTAAAGATAATACGGTACTGTTCAGTTGTTTTTGAGGCCGACGTTGAGTACTGATCGTCTAGCAAGCTAGCACTCAACGCTCGTAAATGGGGTATTCTAAGGATAAAGCCACCCTTAAATGTCGCAGTTCGTACTTTGCCAAATTCTTACTGTATGGCATCCACTTCTCATAGAGAAAACAATCCTATATTTTTATCAATTTTCTAAGTCGCGAACTGCAAATCATCTTCCATGGGAATGGATCAATTCCAATGTGAAGAGAAATGGTTTATCAAAGAATACCCGTTATGTATCATGCCACAGAGTCATGCAAATGAAAATAAATTATTGTAATAGGTAGCTGACAGATTACGGCCACAATTGAGAGGAAGTAATAGATCTTATGCCTATAAGATTCTGGACAGTCAGGTTCAGAGGATTCAAAATTGCTGTAATGTTGATTTGCAAGGATCATCACATAGATAGGGAAAGAAGATAAGCAACTAGCAATATTTTACAACCATCGGCCTGTCTTGAAAGAAAAACTTGCAGAAGAAAAAAGTGCACGAGAAGTGCTATGCGTTTTGCCAAGAAATACTTGAATTTAGCAAAATAGGGATGAAAGTATGTTTGATTCACAGCGCAATAGTCTTATATATCATGAGTCAACTCTTCGATTTATTTTCCTGTTCGATTTTTTTGCATTTTCTTTTCAAAACAGGCAAGCGACAGCTGAAGAAGAATCATTACATAATACTGCTTAGGCTTTGCATATTCCAAAGATCGGTGCTATTAAAGGTAGAAGAGCACAACAGTTGCTAGAGATATTAGGATATTCGCGCCCTGGGCATGTTTGCTAGCTGTCGGCTGTGACATGGTTCGTGGAACGGAGTTCTGATTGCGTTCGCCTTCATCCTGGAAATGAAAAACGGGTTGAAAGGGACGAACTGCTAGCTCATATAATCCGCTTAGTGATGACGGTGAACGAAGACAAGGCTCAGACAAGAGCTCACCTGCTGCTTCTTTGTGGCTCTCGGACGAGAATCTTCTTTACCACTGACCAGATGATGGAAGTTACATAGATGACTGTCGCAGATGCAGTGCTTACTAAGCGGTTCTGTGCTATTTCGAAGATATTCGGTTGTGCAGCCAGTTGCAACTTTCTGAAACGTTTTTGATGATAACCAACAAACCTGTTATATGCTTGAAGAATATTTTACTTGCAGACAATGCCCCGGATGATGGCTTATGCCAGCAATAGCCATGAGTTACGTATACTCTCTCAAATTCTATTTTTGATGGTATGCATTTAAAAGTTTAAAAAAAGCGGTCCAGCGAGGAGCACTAAAAAAGACGATTATATGGGCAAATCAAAAGAAAAAGTACAATGTGCGTGTTTGCAGCTATCAGTTTATCATGTCATGCACCTGCAGGAAATTTGGACTTTTGATTTGGAAATCACCTCGAAGTCTTGTTCAAGCGATTAGCAGCATAAAGTTCATGGTTGAGAAAATCAGTCAACCAATTCCCTCCCAATACCGTACCGTTAGAGCAGGCCAATATGCGCTGTCGGGTGCGGTACTGGGCGAGAGGTTCATGTTTCGGGACGTGGACCATATCACCCGCCGTTTAGGTGTTGGCTTATTCGAATTCTCCTATAGTAACCATATGAGAAATTCTGGTACCCAGATTTCCTTGGGTACAGTCTATAATGCGCTTTTGGAGGAAAGGATGGTAACAGTCCAAGATTTTATAGATTGTAGATTTGAATTCAAAGATTCTTGTTCCCTGACTTTAGCGCAATCCAGCTCGTTTTTGGACTTTTCTGACCGCTTGAAGAAACAAACAAATACTGCTCTCTCATGACTTTTCGATGTTAAGCTTTATTTATGTATTCTCTTTTCTTTTTTCTTTCCTGCATCCATGCTTTTCTACATCTTAGTTTTGACTTTCTTACCTGCGCATCAAGACCAACGCACATGCATAACATAAATAAATGAATCATAAACAGTAATTCTCACCTTGTCATCGTCGACCTTCAGGCAACCGGCCAGAAGCTCATACCTAGGCCGAGTAGTTCCAACGAACTCGTCATGTTCCGAGTAATCGTGCTTGAAATCTACACTCTCCAAAACGATCTCGGATGTTGTCAGAGAAATGAAGCAAAACTGGCCTTCACATGTGGTTGACCTTAATTTTGGCAGCAGTGAACCAAAAAAATGCGGTAAAACGAAAATGATGCAAAAATGACGAACTTCTTAAAAACCTCCTGTCCGAATGGCTTACTCGATTTATGGCTTAGACTGTAGCAATAGTTTTGATCATCCTGACGCCTTTCGATCACTTTCTTGATCTGAAAGTAGAAGAAGCTTGAATTTATCAACTCACACTTTATTCAGGACGGTATGTAGATGTAACTGTGGACCGTAGTTATTGAGACTTGAAAGGAAAACCAGTAAAACGAAAAATTGAACTAAGCTCAGTATCGAAATTTTGGTAATTTTTCCAATACTCGGCCTCCCCAACAGCGTGTTTGATAAAACTTAACAGTGTCGGATAACATTTAAAGGTCTTGCTTGCAAAGCAGTCTCCTTGTAGGATTTACAGCAATAAAATATTATATTTGCTTCAAAACACCGCCATAATAAACAGGCATGTTTTGTACATTGAATCAAAACAAGATGCGACTAACTAGCCGAATATACTTTTCTGCATACAGATGCTGAATGGTCTGTTGCGCATGGCTAATCAGCCAATCACCAATTACATAGATGCAAATTACTTCACGCAAATCAACGGCCATTGGTTATATGTCGCACGCACCACGCCCATACAGCATTATTTACAAAGTCCGAAAAAGCTTGAATTTTTACGAGAAATGCACATTCAGAAAAAACGCATCAGGAAATTTCTGTGCATAACACAATTCTCAAAGGTAACACAATAGAATATCAGCATCCAAATGATGATTGAAAAAAGCTGTGCTCTTTCTGCACTACGAATAGAAGCGCAGTATGAACACAAGTTTAGCCATGTTTGCACCAGCTCAATAGTAATGATTTATAGTAGCTAAAGAGTTCTCACCTGGAAATTTCGGGTTCTATTTAGTTCGTTGCACATACCAGATGGCTGAGTGCATGTGCAGCCATTCATCACAGTCGCTGTGGTAGCTTCGTATCTGACAATGGAAAGTTTAACGTTAAAAAAGCTCAAATTACTCTGCTTATAAGAAAGGACTCCAACTTTAACTTTGAATTATTCATGAAAGTAACATTTAAGTTGGCCTTAGCACTGTTATAAAATATCATCTCAACTAAATAGCATAAAACCCAAGAATTTTGAGGCTCTTGGGCAATCTTGTCAGCTGATAAAAGAGCAAGAATGTGTAAATTGCTTTTTTAGAAAAATACAATGAGAAGGCTCATAAGAAGGTAAAAATATGATATTCGGTTATAACTCCATTACTACACACAATTACTGACTTTCTCAAATTCATAAATCAGCTCTTCCTAACTGTTATACTTCGCAGAGAAAGTGCTGCTTTGCTATGGCTGTTTCTAGGAACATACCCACCCGCATGTGAGCCTTAAGTGCTCATGCTGAAACCGTAAACTTAAAGGATGCGTTTTATCCAATCTATCTCATTTTTGAAAGAAATTTGTAATTTCGTACCATCATGATGGATTTGAATGTTTCCAACTCCACTGGAAAAAGAAAATCATGCACTTATAAATGACACCACTTTGGTGTTATGCTTGAAAAAGGTTTTGAAGATAGGTACAAGAAAATCGCTGAGACTTTAAATTTTCGAAATTGGGTAGTTGAAATCTAGATCGAATCAATTTCGACACACACGCAATATATATTTGTAATTTGTTCTTTCTAGCCAGGAAAACTGAGAAAATGCTAGTCAGATGCCAGTTTTCTCAGTGGCAATAATCAGCAGACTCTTTCTTTGGGAAACTAATTCGCAACGCTTCCGTCTTTGAAATTAATCATGATACTTATAATTAGTAAGCCAATTTTTTTAACATTATCTGCTACCCTCCTACATTCTCTTAGCTCAAAAACTGCATAATTCAACAGCATTTTTCGAGTTTACTATTCTGCAACTTTCTCAACTTCGCTACAATCGTTGCCACAAGTTGGACACGCACAATTTCATCTCTTTGGGCACATCGAGCCAAGAAAATCATTGAAAATGATGAAATTATAGCTCAGATTTTTTATACCACGACAGATTTTGCTAGAGTTTGAACGAAAGAGAGCTTATGAACTGAAGAAAGTCAGTTATCAGTACAGTGGGTAAATTTCACTTCAACCCAGTGGACTTTGGTGACTACTGCATCTCTTCGAATGCGATCATAGTACCGTTTTTCAGAACGTATTATCTATATGCACTGTCTTATTCAATGAAAATTGGAGTAGAAAAATGATTGTTTAGCAAATAAGAAACATATTCATGCAGAATCTGACTTTTGCGAACTCGGTTACATGATGATACGTTGAAAACATACCTGGCACAAATGGGAGAGCCTTGATAGTCTAAGTAGTTGTTCATTCGTAGGAAGGACTGCAATCGTGGGAATCCCAACCCGCAACCCTAAAGTGGTATGGTCATTCGTTTCTAGATGTGGGAAATTGTTTGTCAATTCAAAAGTAAAAAAAGGGTAAAAATGTTTTTTTGACGCCTAGGGGTTCTTTTCCGCACAGGCTTAATAACATCTGTTTTATTCGATTCACAATCACAGGTAATCGTATGCCTTTTCTGTCACTTCCAGCTATAATCTCCCAATTGAAGTACTATAATTACCAATTCATTTTTCTCAACGCAAAAATACTGTCGCAAAGAGCAAGTTCGGCTGCAATATAAACTTTGTGCATTTGTTGCCAAGACGAGAAGAATTTTTGAGCTAGGGGAATGCCAGATTTCAAAGATTTCGTTGGGAAAAAACTAACTTACTTCAAGCGGCAAGATAACGCATACTTAGCCCGAACCAGTGTTATGTAGAACATGTCAAACTCGGATTCTATAATTGCTAGAGGTCATCGCTAAAATTGAAATTACTCACTTCTTGCTAATCAGAGAAAGCGAAAACTTGTGTTTTTGATAATTTCTGAAGAGAGGACCTTCGCGTTTTCCTATCACTAATTGCTAGGTTTACTCCTGCTGTGCAAACAATTTTATTGCAATCGCTCTTAGCTAAAGATTCTTATACTGCTTAGAAGGGTCGTAGTTGTCTTCCAGGTCTACATTGCAAATTATTGGATCAAAAGTTTCCGTCTCGTCTCGAAGAGCACTTCATAGCAAAAACGTTCTGCATAGTTGTTGTTATAATTTGAAAGAAATTGAGTCGATGAATTTCCTGCAAAACGAAGAGTTAGAGGAGTGAATCCTAAACTAAAGAGACAGAAACAGTGCTTGAAAGAAAAGGTCAAAAATATTTACCTAATTCAAAAGAAGAGTTGATCAAATATGAATCAACCCGATACATCATATGTTTACCTACATTATACATACATTACACTGCTTTACATAAGATTCATTATGGAACACAGCAGTTTTACTATGCTTATGCTTCCTGCTGATTCTTTCACAAATTTTGGTTTAATGCTTTATATTGAGAATGATTTATTTATAACTTGATTTACCTGCTCGATTCCGTCGAAATCAACCACGCAGTAATTGCCACGACATTTTCGGAGGCAGCTATCGCTAGGACATCGTTCACCCTGTCGTTCAGAACATGCGCAGCATTCCACTGTCGGAAGTCGATTTGTCAGATAATTGTTCATCTGAAAAGCTTGTCATTTTTATAAAAGTTTTCCACAAGAAGTTCTAAATATTTACAGGATTTTGCGTAGAATGTTGCTTGTTTTCTTTATCCTAATCGCAATATTTATTCTTCAGATAACAGAAGTTTTCGATTCATTACACTGTCTAGGCTCTGGACCTCTAGCTCTCTTATGCGAGATACTGAAGGGGAAGTGCAAAACTGAGGGATTCCCATGCTACGGCCCATATGATGGACCTCTGAGCAAGAAGTTCAGCTCTAAACGTTCGCACGGTACTTTAGTCTTCCAGAGCGGACCAACCAGGGGCTCTCATACGGTATTGGGCGAGAGTTTAAAGTTAATCGGCACCATTGAGCTGCCGCTCAAACAACTCTGTATTTTTCAAACGGTTTTGACATAAGGAACCCAGATCAGGTCTGCCTGGGCACTGCTTTTTTACACTTGCACCTGCACACTTAGAAACCTAATATTTTATTTATTGTGATAAATCTGATGTAGTGCAATGCAGTATGCGGCAGTACCTATCAAATATTTGAACTGACGCAAACCAATACCTTAACTCTCAATTATAGGCTACCCTTCGTTGCCTGTGTCTCATTCTCCAATACAAACCCACTCCTTTATTCAATATGCAAAAAGCCCTTTTCGCTCTTACCACAAGAATGAAATTTGATCGGGCTGTATTTGACTAAACTTTCGTGCAACTAGTTCTTCTATTATAGCTCTCCATGCGTGCCTGGAGTTTTCAAAAAAAAGAATAGCATTGAGAGTAGTGAATAACAAGGCCTTTTTTCTATTAGAAACAATTTTTGAATTTTGAATGACCGTGAAGTAGCGATTCTTTTAGTGTTTCTTTAATAATTGTACGAAATAAAGAAATTTGCAAATTTTTACAATCAACATTGGCCTGAGTCTTCAACTAGATTCACCGTATATACAAATTGAATAAATGATACGATTTACTAAAAAAGTTATATATGCAAGTGCATCTTGAGTGCACTACTTGCTGCAAGAAATTGAATTCAATAAGCTTAGCAAGTACCAAAATTGCCTTTTCAAGGATGTTAGATAAGCAGACGAAGGCAGAACTGCATATTTCCTCAAAAATATAGGCAGCCAAAAAAAAAGAGGATTTATGTCATGTAATGGCAATGAGGGATTTGCTTCTGCATAGCCTTTTTCATCTATTAGGTCATTCCGAAAGTAATTTCGCTTTTTCAAATTGGCGCCACTTCTAAAGTAATAGGGCTTTCGGAGAGATCTTGGTAGCATTCGATGCAGCATTTCATCCTCTTTCTAAAAGTTATGAAATCTTTGCAGCGCACTCAACGAGCTTTCGGAAAATTGCCAAAATCTGCGACCCATGCTTTTTGAGATAATCAAGTTTCATAATTTTTCAAAACTTTCTTATCAAACCTCAGAAGGAGTTCAAATAACGATTAGAAAGAGCAAACCTCCTAGGATACTACAACTTTTCTCCCTTATTCACAAGCTCGCCGTAATTTTTTTAAAGATTTTTTACCAAAACCATCGTATTTTGGCAGCCCTACGTCAGCCAAATTCGCATCAAACACCTTCGAAATTTTAAAATTCCAAAATGGTATATGACTCAATATTGATTTTACAAAGCAAATGAGATCTTACGGATCCGAAATATCATATTTCGAGTTTTTCGGGTATAGGCTTGGGGGCATTCAAAAACATGAGTTATGATGATTTTATCCCCGAAGACTGAACGAATCGGAAATGAAAAACATTCATTAGAAAGAGGAAAACAAGCTGCATCGATTGACACCCGAGCTGATTACCGCTTGATGTTCTACATGGTTTAAGTTGACCAAGAATGGAAATTGGTAGCATATTAAAATTCTACTAAAAAAAATATGACGAGCTATGGAAAGGAGAGAAAAACTGTTTTGTATCCTTTAGAGTTTGCTCTATCCATTTGTTACTTGGGCTCCTTCAGAGGATTGATACAAAGATTTCGAAAAATAGCCAAAGTTGACTATAGCAAAAAGCAGTGGTCGCAGAATCTGTGAATTTTCAGAGAGCTCATTATCTACGCTGCAAAGTTTTTATAAGCATTGGAAAGAGGATGAATTTCTGCATCGAATGCCTCCAAGATCTCTCAGAAAGCCTTATTACTTTAGAAGTGGCGCCAATTTGAAAAAAGCAAAATTACCTTAAAATTACCGGAATGACCTGATATAATCTCTTCATTAGCACTGTTTCAAAGCGGCGATTATTGAAGTGCAGCATTCAACTCATCAAAAAACGTAATTTAAAATTCTCGAAGGTAAGCGCATGTAGTTCGGAAGTCGTACCTGAGCGAACTTGGGTTTTTTGTGGTGTTTATTTATTTTTCTAGCCAAGATATACTTTTCGCTGACTATTTTCCAATGAACACCTTTTAGGGGCGATATCTAAGGATAATTGGGTACTAAAGTCCTAATAATTACGCATTAAATATCATTTTTGTTACTCGCTCAAGAAATTTGTTTCTGAGATATACTTTGACTTTCCCCTTGGCGTTCGACACTTATTGTTGACACTGCTCCGCTAGATTCGTTCGGAGTGTTGTCAAGGAAGTAGTGTCAGATTCGAAGGGTCCCAACTCGATCATACTTGTCATCAAGACAATGGGCCGCTGAATACACCGGGACCACCTCAGGAGAACTGCAGAGAAAATTAAAATTTTGTCAAATTAAATTCAAAATGTTTGGCCTTCTAAACATTATATCATAAAATCATAATTGAGATGGCTTAATTAGTTTTTTCCTGGTGCTATTCTTTCGTATTCATGAGAAATTGGGAAGGAATAAAAAATTAGTCTCTACCTCAATTATCTGGAAGATCGCAATACAAAACCGAAATTGCAAGGCTATTTTTCCGTCTTTTTTCAGTGCACTGCTGTTGTCGCGCACATGCTTGGAGTTTACCGTTTCAGCTTGAGCACTTAAAGTCAGTGCCTGGCATCAAATCGATTTTTTGGTAACACGGCTGCTCAGCAGTACACAAGACACTTCCAGATACATGATACCTAAGTTGAACCACATTCATACATTAATTGTGAACAATATTATGTAAAGAAAAATCCCGAAAACTTAGGTGAAGTAGTGGTTTCTAAATTTCATGGCAACTTATTTCGCCAGAAGCTTCTCTTGCGTTGGAAAGTTCACATATTTTCAAGACTTGGTATGGATTCCTTTCCATGTTCAAAGATTCTCACCTAAGTTTTGAACTTTATTTGGCCTATGTATGCTCAAAAGTCTATTACTCAAGGAGAACACTAAGACGTTTTGTTAGATATCACGCTTCAACTCCTTTGACATATGCTTTCTTTGTCTCATTATTAAAAACGCTCTCAATTTTCGTGTCGTCGTATATCCTTCATGATGAAGTAGAGGTTTTTAAAGGAATATAGAATGTATCACTTATTTTTTATTACTATGTTCTCCCCTTCACAGTGCATGTGACTTTAACGAAGTTGGGGGCAGGGCTAGGCACAGGTGGCTTGTAAGCAAGCTGAGTATCGTTTTTGGGACAAAAAGCAAAGGGGATGTCGTTTTTGTGGCCTGAAACAAAGAAAACACAAGTCTGGCTAGGTTTTTTGGTCGGCGTTTCCGATTTTGGGTCGAAGGGTACTTCGTAAAATTCTACAAAAGTCAGAGAGGACTTCGTTTTTCTGCATATTCGGAAAGACATCTCGTGCCGGGCCCTGGTTGGGGGCTCCAGAAAGTCAGACCTCGCTAAATTTTGGAGGGGTCAGAGGAGGCTTTGGCTGAATCCGTAAATGCATCTTGGAGGGCATAAAGTGTTAAAAAAAGAGTAGGCTTATGGCTTTTATTAGTTTATTTGGAAAACTGAATAACTGCGCAGGATGAGATGCAGAATTATAGGACCCTATGATCTTCACAATGGCGCATGCACTCTACCGGTCAGCTGTCTCAGTTTTGGTCTATTGTTATGGCTTCGCACTTGCAATATCGTCGGCGAAGTCTATTTCGCAAAGTATGCTCTCCTAACCCTATCTTAGCCCGGACACTGCCTCAAATTCTTTCCAGAAAAAATAAGTAGATAATGAGTTATCTAGACTTTGTAAACAATAGTTTTTCCAAGGGTGCGTGGATTTACAACTGCGTCTGCCTGGAAGCTCTGATTTTTTGAGACATCGAAAATTTTCAAGAAAACCCTTGTCTCTATGTCAATTCAAAGTATTTGCACTGCTAACTTTCATGGTCTTTAAGCAACGAGCTGTCGAGCTTAAATGAACACTTTTTGTCAAAGTGAGATGAATGTGCCATCAAAAGTTGAAAAAACATGATCTACAAGGCCAAAGAGAAATATCTTTGTCTCACACAATTGAGCACAGTTTTCTTAGCTAGATGTATGTAAGAAAATCTCTTCTGAAGGCTGTCCCAAAAGAACTTATTCGAAGGCATTTCCTTTCGATAGCTTCTCTGCTGCATATTGACATTTTGTTCCTTTTAGAACCCTCTTGCGCAAGAAATTGAAATTTGATATCAAGACACCGATACTTGAGAAATAAAAAAAATAAGCGCATGTGACCACTCTGGTTTTTGCATTAAAAAAACATCGTTACAGAAGCCAGTATGAAAAAACTTTCACTGATGAAAAGGACTGGGACAGTTGAACAAATTCAGCAACTGGTTCTATCACGTTACATAAAAATCAATTTAAAGAAAAATGATTGTTTGGTATTTAATGATGTTGAGCTACACCACTAATTAGGCTGCAAAAAGCTTTCCAATTCTATCTGCAAGCATATGAATCTATGGAATTATTTCAGAAAAAGAATTGGAAACCATTTCGAAGTGGATTTCAACGATATAGACCATAAAATGGCTTGAATAATAAACTAAGCTGTTCTAAATTGTAGCTATTACACATTATTGACATTTTCAGGGCAGGATCTCTTTCAATAAAAAGCCTATTTACAAAAAATTCAACTCTCCCATCGCTCCAACCCCTGAAGCATTTTTAAATGTCCCAACATCAGCAGCTTACTGTAGTAAAGTCACATTTGTCACAGTGACACAACCAGTTTCGTTTCGAGAAAAAAGGCAAATAGCTGCTGTTGCCCACGAATTGAATCATTATGATCACTAGATCCACTGTACAAGCATGGATCGCGTTGTAAAAAGATGCAAGCTGGATGGCAACGTAAAATCCAAGAAATATTTTGTAACTTAGACTTGATAATTGGCTGCAAACATTATGTGAACGGAAACCGGTGCATTTTAAAGAAAGTAAATGACGGCTAACGAATTCAAAAGAATGAGGAGTAGCTTATCCTATTAACGTACAAAACAGGTCGGAAAGACGCATCTGTCAATGAACAACGGTTTGTCTATAAAGATTCTATAGTTTATCTATCTATCTATAAATAAGTTTATCTATATAGAATCTTTTTCTATAAGTGTTGACAGTTTATAATTGAATGACAGTTTATCTAAGTTTATCTATATCTTTCTCTTTGTCACTCATTGCTTTTTTACCTAAAATTAAACTGCAAACGATTCATCTTCTATTTTTATTAGATGACAAATCCATTGTTAATCTTACCTGATGCCGAGTATTGCATTCATTCTCGTCACAGAAACAATGAAGTGTTTCGTAATTACTCGCGTACTGGCACCCTTTTTGTCCGCCAGGTATGTCTGTTATACATCCTTTCTGAAAAACTTGTTGAATGATGAAAAAGATAGCCATATGTTCTGCATGTGTAAGGTATTATTGAAAGAAAAAGATGTCACCTGCATAATGGCCGTTTTTTCCTCGGAAAATATTTCCACTTTTGCGAAGCAGGCTTCACCAGAGCACATATCTGCAGGTTCCGAAGTACAATCACATGCAACTGGGTCGACCTGGAAAACCATATTTGCAGTTGTTCTTAATTATAAAGAAAACTAAAATACAAGTTTCTGGGAGCAATTTTTCAATAGAAGCAAAATAATCATTCAAAGTAGTAAAACTCATTTAGAGTGGACATCAAGAATAAATACAGAATCTGAAATCTGATATTTTCAAAAACGAATATTTATTTGAATAGCGATAATCGTTTAGAGTTAAAATCATGAATCATTACAGAAAATAAAATTTGAAAGCCTTCAAAAAATATTATTCAAAGTAGTGATACTCGTTCAAAGTGGAAATCATAATTTGACACAGAATCTGAGATTTAAAAGTTTTCAAAAAAAAAAAGAATTATTCAAACTAGTGAATTGAACGGAAATCATGAATAAATACAAAAGCTGAAATTTGGAAGTTCAGAAAATCCAACCCTTTTTGCAGTGCTGTCCAACAATTTGAGCTTTCAGTAGTTGAGACAACAAAATACATTTTGAATCACTTTCTATGATTCTTTTATCATGCTTACATTTTCACTACATCGCAACAAATTTGAATATGGCAAGAATGATTATACATAATTCATTAAGAATTTCCTACGAACTGGCATTAATTTATAGGAAAAGCTACCTCAAAGAAAACTGCTCTAATTACAATTTTTGATCCAACCTTTGTTCCTTGTATAGTCGAGCAATGCGCCAAGCAAGAGTGGCACTTAACCTCGGCGCTTATTTGAAGTGACATTTGTAGGAAAACCCACAATAATAACATACTGAAACTCTGAAGAATAATACAATTAGAAGGTATTGCAGAGGACGAGATACGGTATAGTTAGCAAGTGCCTTCGTCAAATTAACGATAATCCAATTAAGCGTTGATGACGGGCACAGCACTGAGACAGGCACAGCTTCGCAGCTAAGAATGACTGGTGGATATCAAAATGGATAGTAAAAAGTCTGTTACACTACAAGTATGTCAAGTCGAAACTTTTTTGCACATTTTTGCAGGTAGCACCGGATAGACTTGGAAAAATGGAGGAATATAGCTTCATTATGAAAAAAATAATTAATGAAAGCAATAATGGTTTTGATGAATGGGTTGCAAGGAGCGCGTGAACTGGCGGCAGTGCACACTTATGTGCGTACTTATGTACTCAAACTGAATAAAAAATTAGAGTTTTTCGATGCATAGGTAGATTAGCAGATTAACGAGCATTGTACAAATAAAGAAACGAACGGGTGGGCGAAAATTTGCAGAAAATGAAAACGATTGGCTGGAAGGCCGTAAAAGGTTATTGCAAGGTGCGGCCTGATCTTAATCGCGCTCGCGGCAACCAATTCATCTATCGCACCCGTCGCAACAATTCTCGATGTTCTCGGACATGAACAGGGAAGGGCGGGGTGAGGAAGAGGAGGGGGGGGGGGAGAGAACAGAGTAAAATATACAGTTTGAAAGCAAATTTGTTTTAGCCAGCAGAAGCGCTTTGAGAAGCGCGAAGAATGCGAAAACCGTTCTAGAGTGAAAAGACTTTCGACAAATAGCAGCCGACAAGGTGAGCGCGAAAATGACGACAAGTGCGAGACATCAAATAATCAAGCATTGTACAAGAAAAAAGGGAAAATCCTCATTTATAGACCATAAAAAATGAATTGCACTTTGCTAGATGGCGAAAATATTAGCGCAGAGTTTTTTTTTAGTGCTGCTGAATTCGGTGATAAATGAATAAGCAAACGGATAGTGACGGATACCCCTGGGGATTGCCCGATGCAAGGGATGTTCCGGTTAGCGATGTACCTGAAATGCTTGGCGCTTCGTCATGCAAGGGGGGCGATGCCTTGGATGTTTCGACTGAGAACCAGTCTGTGGATCAAGAAGAGCCTCTAAGCCAGTGATGTTCGCCGGCCGTCAACTATTCACCGAACCTGTTTTAGCCGAATTGAATACTATGCAGTACCTGACGATCATTACAGGGCCGCTAGAACATAGGGAACGTGATTAGAACATATATTAGGCTAATAATTCTTGCGCTGAAAAGTGCTAGAAATCACGCAAAAATTTTTTTAAACAGCGTGTCAAATTATATTCTGAAATTTAAACCCCACAACAAGAGCCTGTTTGATATCTATATCGAAATTTTATCCGAAACAAAATCTATGTCGAGTTAAAATGTCGCAAATCCCTACTAGTAGTAGAAACATCCAGTCGCTATAAGTTTCTCACATCTAGAAAGCGTTAGATGTAAAATCGTGATCAAAAATAAAATTGGATTTTCTTAGACCCTCTAACATTTTTAGAAACCAAATATAATAAAGTACAGTCTGGGTGCTCTTAACAGCTTGTATGAAAGTGATATATTGAATGGATTTTTGCTTTGTTTTTTTTTTGCTATATTAGAAAACGCATGAAATTCTCTTTCTAAATTGTACTGAAACAAATTGAATTTAAAAAATTCTAAAAAGGACAAATCGTTACGATTCAAAAAAAAATTTGCAAGAATTATGGATCAACCTACTTACAATACACAAGCCTTAGACCTAACCAAGTCTTCTAAAGGAAAAGCTACCTACTGAACAGAAGCAAAACTCAGCATTTCGGCATCTAAGTGCTTGTGACAGAACAAACTAGTCATATCATGAAAGCTTGCGTCAAAACTTCTTCAAGTTCCAACTCGGTACGAAAACTAGCAGCCTTCACGCTAAACTAGTCTTTCTTTGAAAGAAAAAAAGCAAGTGAAACTAGACTAGGCAGAGATAGTTTTCAATATGAATAAGAGCGAAAAATTATTTTGCCGCTTTTATAATGAGAACTAGCTCTCGATAAAGGTTGAGAATGGTGGAAAAAATTATAAGTAACTATAGGGAGCATATGCTTGATTGACGACATAATCTTTGTAGCGATGTACTTAATTTCTACTTTTGCTCGTCACTTTATGATGCAGGCAAGACATTTTTGGAGAAACGCGAGAATGGAACAGCATTTGCACTTCATGCACTTTATTGGCACATTCAGTAATATAATTAGATTTTTCTGCAGAGTTATATGCAAGCCGCGTTAAATAGGAGTGCTTTAGGGTTGGCATAGGAGAAAAATTAGCTATGGAGAACCACTTGTTCATGAAGTAGACAATTATTGTGAAGAAATCATCTTGATATTGCGATCATGCCATTAGTGCGTAAGCGTACTAGATAATTGCGGCACTTCCGCTCAAGGAATCATTAACTGCAACAAATTGCATGTCGAAGCATGATGATGAGCAAAGATGATTTTGCTAATGAGGGAAAAATGTTGCGACCGGAAATTTTCGAGAAAACAGAACTTTGAGCGAATTTTTCTGCCTGATAAGTAGGTATTTTATTTTGTGAACCAGTAATCTAAAGGTACTTTTTGGAAGCGCGTTCGCCTCGGGCCCGCCGCGGTTTCCGACTACTGGAAGATTTTTGAATTAAGCTAACAATTCTTTATATATTATATTTTTTTGTATTATTTTTCTGCATGATATCCGTGAATCGTACACCAGATTATGAAATTGTAACAATTTGTCCTTCCAACGAATTTGCTCAGCTCCATAAAATCTGGAAAGAGGAAATCATACGCTTTCCAATACTGTTTGAAAGAAAAATTTGTTTGATAGAGAGAAACACTCAAACCGTATTTTTAACCCTCAAAAAAACTGGTATGCTAAAAAATTCCAGTTTTAATTTCAGTCAGATATGCCTTCGAGTTTTAAATTTAGTAATGGTTTTACGACATCCTTTTTTTAGCTGTAAAAACTCTATGCTAAGTTGTTTTTACTTATGATTTTGTATTTTAACTCGATATTCCGATTTTAATTCAATCAAAATTTTCTACTATACTTAGTCAACTAGAGCACTTATTGTGGATTTTAAGAATTATAACATAAACTTCAAAACGTCTTTCAATATATCTTAGATGGATTTTTAGAACTTTTCAGAATTTTGGATCAACTTAATGACATCGGGTCCAAAAATTTTTCCGGAAGTGTCCAGGACGAATCCAATGGCCACTGAGAGAAATAGTAGACAGATTATGTCTTGGATAGCATCCGCGCCGAAGTGGATCTCTAGCCGAGAGACAAGATTTGGCCGACTACCAAGACACCGCGTTGATTGCGTGCCCAACCAAATGTCACTACTATCTCCCTCTTCCCCCCCCCCCCCTCCTCAGTCGTTGAATACTTGCGAACTTTCAGGCAGATTGACGCAGAAGATACGAGAGTGTACTTAACTGCGGATCGGGTTAGTAGGTTAGTAAAAGAAACGAGATTAATGAGTCGGTAACGATTTAACAAGGTGGAGAGCGTAGAAACAGCAAAGAGTTGATTCAATGACAACATGGGCCATCGGTGGTCTAAAGGCTTTTTGATGCAGAATTATCCTCCCTAAAATTTTCGCCAGCAACATTACAAGCGAGACTGGCCTTCTAATAAATTCTATTAGATTGTTACCTATGTTCTGTTATACATAAGAAAAAATGTCCGTAATTTCTTTTATAAAAATTTTATTTTTAAATTTTGTGGTTGTGGATTTTGATTTACAAGCATAAAAAACCAATTTTCAAATTTTTTAAGCCTTCGAATTTTTTCTGGCGAATTTCCAGCTTGTATTATCGAAGAGCGTGGGTCCGAATTTACTTGGCATTACTACTGAAGCTTCCGGAAGTCCATTGAAAAATCTAGAACGATGAAAAAATGGGATGGGAGAATTTATAGAATATAGAAAAAACAATTGTCTATACATTCAATTTAGCTAATGTCCATGTAGAAAAAATAACACCAAATGGATAGCCCTTTGTCCTTTTCTTAGATGAGCCAAATATGGGGCTTTATAAAATTTTCTAGAGCTTTCCTGAGGAAGAAAAAGAAAGCGAAACGAAATTTTTCTAGCGATCCAATATAACCCCTTCTTCTTTACATAAAACCCGTCTAATGACGCGAAACATCAGAACTCGGCTCGAAAAAGTTGTGTAAAATCTCGTCGTCGTCATCGGGTTAAGTACCAGAACATGGACCATCGCAATGTTCGTGAAATTGTACAAGTGCTCGCAAAGAATATAGACAATAGAATGCATAGATGAGACGAAGCACGGTAATCGAATCCCGACAATCGGTGCGAGATGATCGCCACTCAGTGTTTGCACATGAAAGACGTCCACACTGTCTTCGAAACGGCCGCTCACATCATGGTCAGATCGTTTGAGGACAAAAAGAGCAGAACATCAACAAAAATTTATGATTCCGACAAGATTTTATGCTGCGATACACGATACAATTGTAAAAAACCTGCGCGATTGTTTTTGGAACGTTGCTGTTAGGATTTCTTTGAAACATACTTTACATCTAGGAGCTGTGGAACCAACGCCAAAAATTTACTAGAGCTTGTCTCAGTTTTATCACTTCAGAGTAATTTGTTTGCGACTTACAATATAACGGAGGTGGAAGAGTGAGTTTTGTTTTAGGCCTTACTGTACTTTCTGACTAGGTTATATTTTCGACTTTTGCTCAGCAAGTGAATGAATGCCCTACCCACAGAACTGATTTTTTTGTTATAACCAATTTTTTCTATGATATATTTTACTAGAGCTTTCAGAGATCCACACAGATAATGGATGAAGGAGTGTCGAGATATTGGCATTTCAAAATAAATGTGTATGTGTCAGTGGCGGCAATGAATTACTCTTCAGGGGGAGGAGGGAAGGGGGGGGGGGGAGAACAGTATTCTTCTCTCGAATGAAGTGCTCTTTGAAAAGAGAAATTTCAAATGCT